GACAATATAAGTTGTTCACTGGTCACGAGGGGGGCATGGGTTGATGTACCCTCGATGTTTGTCAAGTCAAAACATTGATTACACAACAGTCTCGTTTCCTGGGTTCCGTCCTATTGCGCAACTTAGTGCAATAACCAGTCCATAATTTTAAGACCTATTCATTTAGCTGGATACATAAATAGTAATCAGTATTATTTGATACATCTAAGCACTTGTATATTGCAACACTACGCTCATTCTAATCTTTGCAAACACGTTGTGCAGCGTGCTCTGTCGTACAGCGAGCTCTGACAAACGGAAGCCTGGAAATCGTGGAAATCTCAAAACGAGGCTCTGCCGCTAGAAACGTTTGGCGGTCTGGTACGGAACTGATATTATATCAATCACATTGTGCGTTACAGAACTACACTGAATGAGCACAAAAAACACATAACAGTTGTAACCAGTGAGCCAGATGCATTGTAAATCATTTTACGACCTCATCAAACAGGGGCCCCCTGTGATGTCTTAGTCATGCTGCCTACACCTCGCCATAAAATATAGAAATACGATGTTATTAAAGTTTAAAATTAAAATTCATTTGTAAATACCATTTTCGTATGAAACAAGAAATTAAAAAACAGTGTAACCATAGTTTGTGATGTCTTTTTTCACTTTCACACGAGAAAATTCTGATCGGCTGAAAAGTATGTCATTGTCTGGTTAACAGCAATATTCTGTGGTGTCTACATTTCACCACTGTTTAGGTATATATCAGACGCTGACGTCATTCAAAGCTTCTCCAGAATTAACATCAGAAAAGCAAAATAACCTGACAACCTTGACGGCATTGTGTTGAAGGAGTGCAGAATTTAACTATGTAAAGTTTTCACTAGATTGTTTCAATTCACAGTGAATACCCACGTTATTCCTTCGGTCTGGAAAACATCAGAAATTGTACCGGTTCCTAAAAAGACACAACCTAAAGAACTCAACGGCTACAGGCCAGTTGCTCTCACATCTATAGCAATGAAGTCACTGGAACGCATCTTGCTGGCACATATCCGACAGGAAGTTGCCGACATATTTGACCCGCTTCAGTTCCCCTACAGGGCAAGGAGAGGAGTTGTTGATGACACATTGTCACTCCTTAATAATGTCTATAAACATCTAGAGACACCTAAGTCATACATCAGGACCCTCTTCGTTGACTTTTCATCTGCGTTCAACACCATCCAGCCACATATAAAGAAACTGTTAGATATGGGCGTTAACTCGTACCTCATCAAGTGGATCGAAAACTTTATTGTGGACAGACAGCAGTACGTGAAAGTAAACGGGGCCGTATCGAGTAAACGGACCACCATCACTGGTGCCCCACAGGGCTGTGTAATATCTCGTGTTCTTTTCATCCTCTACACTAATGATTGTGCAAGCTCGAATTCAACCTGTTCACCTGTAAAGTTCGCAGATGATGCAGCAATTGTCGGCAAACTGAACGACACTGATTCTGAAGAACTGTATAAAGAGGACATTAATCATTTCACGACTTGGTGTGCAGAAAACCACTTATTCTTAAATGTCACAAAAGACAAATACCCGATAATTGACTTTCGGAGTAAGCCCACAGAAATGCTTCCAGTGAACGGTGAATGTGTTGAGACAGTGTCGGAGTATAAGTATCTGGGAACCTTCATTGACTCTAAGCTGAACTGGAACTCTAACACGGAAGCCCTATACAACAAGTGTCAGCTCATTCTTAAACTGAGATCTTTTAATGTTAACCCATCTGTGATGTCATCAGTTTATGTAGCATTTATTCAGACTGAGTGTATTTTAACATCGTCCTTCCATTGTTGGTATGGATCTCTCTCAGTCCATCTCAAATCTAAAACAGACAAAATTTATAACACTGCAAGTGAAATCGCTGGAGTCAGATTTAAATGTTTATCGGCAATATATGAGCGGCAAAATCGTCAAGCTATCAAAATTATATCTTACCCAACTCACTACTTAATTTCGGAATACAACCTCTTCCCTTCAGACCGCCGCTACAAAGTTCCAATTGTGAAAACTAAGAGAACCCGTACATCCTTTATTCCAAGTACCATATCTCTTTTAAACAAACGTGAAGATACTTAAATCAATGAATTTATGTAAATATGTTTTGTATCTCTCTGATGTGTCAGTAGCTCTGCTGATGTAACACAAATTCCTGTAAAGGCATTAAAGTATTATTCTATTCTATTCTATTCTAGAATCGAGCAGCCCTTTCAAGTAGTTGTTAAAGAGCAACATACAACTCCTGATGACATATTGTTCCACAGGGCTTATTACATGTAAAATCTCAATTAAGCTTTCAAAGGTGCATTACTGCTAGTAGATTTATAATACTGTTTGGTATTATCGTTCAGAAGCAAATCACCTGATCGTGGTAATTATCGTAAATGGTATAAAATAATATGAATGAACCGTGCATGAAACAATTATAACAATCGGTTTGATCCTCAGGAAACAACATTAAGAAAGAAACCCATATAAAATAACAAATTAAGCAGATGAACAAAAGAAACCTGATATAGTTGCTTGCTATGAACAAACACTGCCAATCCGTTGTCAGCCATATCTTTCTAAGACAGACATTTTAGTTACCAAGTATTATTCAGTGTTATCTCGTCTACAATATCCATTGCTCTAGTGACATACGTTTCAGAGTAACGGAGATACAGAATCACTCCTCGCCGGAATGAGCATACCCTGCTCACAATTACATGCAAAGGTTAGTGAGAAAACAAAAGATAACTGATGAGTGAGATCTAGAAATGTCCTTCAGAATCGTCTAGCTACCATAAAACATTTCACCCTAGCCAAGGCTAATTTTGGAAATGTGACAACACTGTCTTAATTCATGGCAATATTCACTGCATTTATATAAACCTGTCACCGTGTTTCTACCGCGACAATATTCTGTACAGACATGCCATTACTTTTATAGTGATTTGCATAGATATGTAAACAATATGCACCCTGTTCAAGCAAGAACATACACAATATATGATCTAAGAGTGGCAGTCACACTGTGGTAATATCAGTACAACATTACGATGTATCTACGTTCGAGGGTGGCTGATGAAGTATCTACTAAATATAAATGTAGTACCATGAATACTGATAAATGTTATATCGACTCAATAAGTTGCAGAAAAAAGGCATGAAAAGTGATCCTCACTCAACTGCTGATCTCCATGTAATATACTTGAAACACTGTAACATAATGATTAACCCTGACATATCTGCCATAATAACTATCTGTAATGACAGGTTCTGTGTTTTCAGGTTACGTCTTCATTAACAGAATCCAAACATTCCGGAAATGAGTAAGTGAGTATGTTTTACGCCGCTTTTAGCAATATTCCAGCAACATCACGGCGGGTGACACCAGAAAGTTTCTTCACACACTGTGCCCATGTAGGGAATCTAACCCGGGACACTTTAATTACTGGGCAACCCCGCCGCCCCCCGGAAGTGAAACAAACTGATTTAATGTAAATACTAAGACACGTTTAACCCGTCCACACGAGGCCGTAACGACAAAATCAGAAAACGCCAATTACAACTTATATTCCTCTTTATTTACATTTCATTTTTCAGTTGATAATATCAATGATAAATGTTTCAAAAATGAATATCGAATAAAGATCTAATGGTCAGTTTCACAACTACACGCAAGACTCTGTCACACACAGTACATGATCGGTGACACACTCAGCATTAATACTGAATCAACATTTCATCACTGTTCATCAGCAGAGAGAGAAAGCACTGTGTGTATTTCTCCACCGGTTTACAAAACTATCATATATAAAGTCACGATGTTGGTTATTCTGTTATGTTACTCAACATTTGCTGCTTCTGTACAATACACATTAGATTTGCTGGTCCAGACTCAATTTCTTACATACCATAGCCATAAAGACCAATGGTCCATCCAACCAAGCAACATTTGCTGCTTCTCTACAATACACATTAGATTTGCTGGTCCAGACTCAATTTCTTACAGACCATGGTCATAAGACCAATGGTCCATCCAACCAAGCAACATTTGCTGATGACAGACATCTATTTGTTTACGTTGCAGTCAGGAAAAGCTCACCTGTGTGACGGTGGTCTGTATATAATCAAGTCTGGACCAGACAACCCAGTGATTGACACCATGGGCATACAATGTGAGATACAATGGCGTACATCTACATTGTGAGCAAGCCTGTTTACTAGATTCCGTTAGTCGCCTTTTACGACAAATATGGGTTGCTGAAAATCAATTCTAACTCGGGTGTAACTCATATTTCTCGTATTCTTGAAAACAATGTGATAAAAAATGATGTAAAATTCAAGATTCATATATACATACCCCCTTGCAACAGCAATGAAGTTCACTAATCTCTTACCCTGCAGTACATATACCGTACGTGGCAGACACAGTAACCAAACTCATTGTAAATAGTTTGGTTGCTGTGGCGCAACAAAGGTTGAGTAGCATGTGCATTTAGAAGCAAAATCAAAATGTTATCCAACGACAATGTTCAATTCATATATGTATAAAATGTACAAATGTATTCAAAGCCAGATCTGTCCTTTATGACATCATTTAATGTTGCTGTACGTGAGCACTTTTCCTGTCTGAAGACTTGCATGCGATGCATATTATTTAGAAGATAATTTCCTTCTTAGTCATCTTCAGTATGTAATTACGTGAGTGAATGTTTTATGTTAAATGAGTATCAAAGAACAGACATAATAATAACATGTCACTTATGAGATCTTAAAAATCGTGGCATATAAACCCTCATTTTTGAATCAGTCAGCACATTCACGAACACATTACGTTCACGAACACATTTTAACAGTTGAATGTGTAGTCCTTGGTTAGTTCCAAATATGTTGCATTAATGGATTTTGATGCTTTGAGATACATATTTACCACTATGCTTGCATTATAGTATTTCTTCACTCTGACTGCTTTTAGCAGATAATTCTTATTGATGTGGAAAGAGTTTTGTCGCTTCTAATCACGTTAAGGTGCAAATAAGATGTTTTGTGTTTCGATACAGGAATACATATAACAGAACTGACACATAGTTGTATATCTCATTGAAAGCCCCATGTGTAACCAGTTGGACAACATATTTATAAACGTCTTGGATATAGAATCTAGTTATTAATTCTCTTTTTTCTCTGTGATCGTAAACTCACCGATCACATGATCCATACTTTATAAGCTATACTAGTAAGATAACAAAAATATAGTTTTCTAATATTATATAGTTACCTTATTTTGTTAAAAAGTCGTTTGCCACAGTACAAATAATGACAATGTGATAACAGATGTATGTGTGTGGAAACGTAATAGTGTACATGTTTCATGACTGTGGACATGGCTAGACCTGGAACGATAATTGATGAAGATAAGCGTCAATGTGTGGTGCAGATATTGATGAATTGATGAATCATCAAACAGCATTGGATGATTTCAGACACGGGATTCTACAATTTTCGTCATCATCCTTTGACAAGGATCGTCTGAGCTCAAAATACACTCTATGTCCATTTCTGACAGATTGCTTCATTGCAGCGTGTTGTGGCGGTTTCCTCATCGTACTTTGACGGCGAGGAACGCCTGTCTCGTATGTTGACATGCTCAGTTTACGGACAACCATCTTCTTGAGGCAGGAACAGAATGGGAACCATAAGTAGAACAGGCCCGCTAAGTCGGACTGAAAGAGGAAATCATAGATACATTATTCATTCTGGGAACATCAGCATGTGCATATCTTTAGATATTTTAAGATGGATATGATTACATGTACAGTAAAACTAAAACCATGTGATATGATTTAAAGAACAGGGTAACAAATCAAGGCAAATTTACTGATGTATCATAGTTTGACAAGCTGAGTTAATTTTGCTGTCAGTGACTATCAATTAATTGTTATCTTTCAACAAAACATTTGCTATTTCTGTGACTTTTTCTCCATGGCTTCGCATATGGAGAGTCTATGTCACTTGAAATAAATAACATTGTACCAACAGATCAAGAACCAACAAAACCACTTTAAAGTCAGAGTAGTGACATGAGGTGTCCGTAAAAATGTATAATGTGTTATCCTAACTATAGCATAAACGTTTAACACATGATTAAACAGCAGTAAATAAGTTATACCGAAATATCTAGTAAAAATGTGTAAAAATATGCTGCTATCTAACATCGATAAATTTGATAATTTTTTCTGTAAATTTAATTCTTTTCAGATTCCTCCAACGACATTGTGGTATACATAAGTAGTAATAATTGTTCACAAGTATAGAGATGTGTTGTATTGTAATGATGGGATAGTGCATCATATCAGTGTTATAGTAGCTATGACGTCACACACATGCAAACGTCCGTTCTAAAGGCAATGGAACCCATGATGTCTTGGTACCAGAGAAACCATGGAACCCATCAGCCTCCTCGTCAGGACACAAATAAATATGCAATTACAATTTGGCGAAACATGTTCAGGCGCATATTATATTGGAGGGAGTACAGTGGATTTCCACGTTTCCGTGTAGAGAGAACGTTGATTATATACTCGCCAGGTCCCGTAGTACTCATTAGGTGGGAACACAATACAATAGGGTCGACCTAATCGACTTAATAGACTAATAGCATATCTCAATTGACAAGATATTTAGGTAGTTGCTAGGGAACCTGAGGGTAAACGGTACTTGCCGCTTCCAGTATTGGTAACTAAGGAAATGTTCCCATGCATAATCATAACATTAAATATGAGTACCTCAATATTCCAATTTATAAATGCGTACCATCAACACGAAGGACGATCAATACATGTATACAATAAAAGAGAGATATAAAACCATGTTTAGCCTGATGCTGTTTAAATATAGTATCCATTCAAGACATTGACTTGGTGATGTTCTGATACAAAGACAGAGGCGTTTACCCAAAGACAGAGGCATTTAAGCCAGTTCTTTTTGGCCTTGAAACAAGACGTATTTACATATCTGAATAATGAGTCATGGTGTTGGAAAAATATAATGTTAAAAGCATATCCGGTCCAGTGTATTGAACCCGGGTTCTCTTATTTAGGATATTCCTAACAACGTTACACACGTGCTTTTTCCAACCATCTTTTTTATTATAGGATATTTATATATCGACCATAAATACGCAACTAGTACATGCTCAAGGCGCTGGTATTTTCTTCCTCGATCATTGGATGTCAATCTCAACGGCACATCGTGTTATCAATCTCAACTCCCTGGGGACCATTCAACTCTTGCAGCCACTAGGCGCACCGAGTCATTGTGGCTTCCCATCCTTACGAGGTACCCATTCACAGCTGGGTGGACTGGGACACATAGTAACAGTACTTTGTACAAGTTTGATGTATCCGCAACTAGGTGTTTGCACGTATTCGTGTGGCCACCATCTTGTTATATACCGACGGATTCGTGGCTTCTTTTAAGTGCACATGGTTGAGTACTTTACACTAGGGATTGTGACACCACTGAAAGAGTCTGCACACAAAGTTGACTCCAAGGTTTTTACACCAGGTCAAAGGTGGGCTCGACCCCGGCACCTCAAGCTCGCTGGATTACAAGCCTTTCGCACTAGACAGTTCGCCACCATGGCCCCTGCGGCCTGCCCCCCTGCGAATTAAATATATAAATCTGAGTGAAAATTCACTCAGATAAATATAAACATCAGTGCAAAAGTATACCAAGTCTTCAATATTTCTTTTATTCGGAGTAAAATAACTGTGAAGTTTATGTGAATGGACCACTGAAAACCAGCCATGCCACCAGGTGTTTGAGAAAAGGGTAAGCATATACAAACATAAAAAATGTATCCATACTTACTCTAAAGCTGTCATTTGTAAATCCGTATATGATCGGATTGGCGAAGCTGTTCGACATTGCCAACCAATGAGCAAAGTAGTAGATGGCAGTAAACAGAACCTCCTGTTGCTCCGATTTATACTCCAGTAGATGGGGGTTGAAGTCTATCACAATAATGAATGTATGAAGCGGAAGCCAACACAGTCCGAATATACACACAACTATCACCAGCATTTTCACCACCTGAAACACAGGAAGGACATTCATAGATTCAAGCAACAAAAACACTCCATGACAACTTAACTATAGAATATCAGTGCTGGAGAAAAATAAGTAGTGATTATCTAATGTGGATCTCTGAACATCGCAGAGGACACCAGGTGTTTGCGAAAAGTACGTCCTGTTCCACCAGTAGCAACAGTCACTCATACAATTTGAAATTACGAAGTAACTATTGTTTGTGTCCTAAAGGCACACGTTCATTTTCTAAAAGAAACATGTACGACTCTGACCATGAGAATGAGAATGTGTTTAGGAACCACTATCAGAAGTGGTGATATGAGGTCACACCCCTCACAAACGCAAACAAAGGACAGTCAGCTGTTCATCTGAATACGGCATCGAGTTGGACATCTGATGATCAAATTTGTATTTGTCCTCGACATGCCTACCACAAAACGTTTTAAAAGCATTTCTGTGGCTTTGAATGTTGCAACCCTGATAAGGTGCGGTTGGGTAACCTAGTGGTTTAGGCATTTGCTCGTCACGCTGAAAAGCCGGTTTCGATTCCCCACATGGGCACATGGGTGAAGCCCATTTCTGGTGTCCCCCCGCCGTGATATTGCTGGAATATTGCTAAAAGTGGCGTAAAACTAAACTCACTCACTCACTGTAACCCTGATAAAACGGCTTTGGGACAGTGACGAGTACCATCACTGCTTCATTATATCTCAAACGTTGCGAAATGTACACAGCTTTGTGCAAGAAACCATGGAATTGGTTTTAAAAGATATGACATGATACTTTCCGAATCCCGAGTCAGTTCTATCGCACACAAAGCACTTTGCTTGTATGATTAAGTACCAAGTTGCAACTTATTACGAATCAAGTATCTAGTGTTACTGAATTCAGTATGCATATCTTTGGCTGTTTTAGATGAAAGCGATAAAACCATAATTTTCTATATCCACAATCAACCCTACTCTCATTATTCTTAATCGCTAAGAAATATCGCTGATTGCATCGCGAACTAAATGCACCAACAAACAAATGTACCAGTTGATATTACAAGAAGAAGAATCATTACTGAAAGCAAAACTGTTTTAAATACGATGCCGTTTCAAAGTGACATTCTGAAGTTATATATGTCAAACGACAGGCCATTAGATATAACTCCGCCGATGTGATGAGTATAGCGAACTGGACCTCCCTCGAGGCCCTCCATCACACAGGGAGAAATTCATTTTACATGGAAGGTTTGTCAATAGCGTTCCCGTATCGGAATTGTCCATAAAGAATCATTCATTACAAAAGAGTGTACGTCATTACGCTGTCCAGACAAGGGGTATTAGGAACACAGATTCAAATTGCTTTGGACGTAAAGAAGTAATCAGAGAAGGATACCTGGATTCGAGCGTCATTAGATGTGACCATGATTACCTTCAGATAACGGATGTTTCTGTCTGAGATTTTAGCAAATGCTAAATCTGACATTTTGTAGGATATCGCTCTTCTTGGCTACACAGAGGCCGTGCATCCCAAAGCTGCAACCAATCACATTTGACAGGAATGGAAAAAAATCCTGTTTTCGATTTCTAAAAGAGAGATCGCGGATCATTAAGCTATCTCAGGCAATTCTTCAACGTTTGGCACTGTGTAAAATATATGTATCGACTGCGTGTTGGAGTGGAACTCATCCGTTGGGGCGCGCGTGGATCCAATTTTCGCGGTTTCGAATCTGAGAAACGGTCCTAGTATCATTCTTGATTTGTTTGATATATTCTTTGCCCATGAATTATGAGGTGACTTTAATCGTTGGCCCCAAGTTTGCAGGATAAGCTATGATGTTACTGGAATGCTGTTAAACAAGCGTTAAATATGTCGCTTACAATGCTTGTGGTCAGTATTATTTCAAGTAAATGCTCAATATCCTATAAATTGGTCTTTTAAAATATTAATTTCGTATTCTTCCAGACAACTGGTCAATTTCATGCGGAAATAAATATTTGTCAGTTCGATTCGAGGGCACTTCAGCAATCAATAGGAACATTGAATCCAAAAGTGTGAATATAATGAATATAATACCATAACATCTGTGTAGTTCATTCCCAAATCAGGCAGAATTGATCTATACAAAATCCAGTTTCTTTGGAATGATGTTAATTTATAATTGAAAAATGAATTGTTCACCAAATCGAGTGCCTTTAGCAAATTCCCTCAGAAACAAGGTAATCAGTACCCTACGGTTGTCGGCAACAGCGTTTCCGATGTGATAATGAATATACATGTTCACGCACTTCTTGATCGACAGTTGCATCCAAGCATGGCCAACAACATCCCCATAGAGACTGTTAATGTGAGACAAACACCTTGTCGTCGACCTGTCGTCATTCCAGTCACAGCAGGGTGGCATATCATCGCTTCTTGTACAGTGGAAATTTGTAAATTCATTTTTGCAAAGTGTGAGATTAGCATATTTACAGCTGAATCAGACACAGTTGACACAAAATTGACACAATCATTTAAACTGGATCATGTAACAATCACGTGATGTCTACCAAACAATGTGTGGAGGTAACATAAATTAACAAAACATAAATTCATATACACTATAAAGCTGAACAGCCCCGTTGTTGATGGCTGGAATCGGGGGAGTGAGAGAGATGGATAGAGAAGGGAAAGAGAGGGTTACGAAGTGCTTTATGATAGGAGGGATCTTGAATATCGCCATGCTAGAAATAACGCAAGGCAGCGTTCATGGCCATGGTCGATTCAACCGAAAACAAGGTGGTCCTGATGATTGTGTTTCTTGTGTCCTCAAGAGAATATGAGAGGGCTACAAATATGTAAGGCACCACGCCGAGTGAGCGAGAGAGAGAGAGGAGAGAAACTCATCGGCTTGCTCTTACTAAACCTACAATACAACAGGGTCAGGACAAATGGTGAATTTTAATCCCTCTGCGTAGGTTTCTGGAGAACCTACAAGAAGCACCACAACCAAGCGACGATAGTGTATTAACTGTTAAGTTGTTAACAACATTTCAATATTGAATATACCCTGACGGGAACCTTAGTGATAAAACTACCCAATTTCTGTCAGGGCGCTCCGATGTGACATCAGCTATTCAACTGCCATAATCGACTTTATGTACATCAATTATACTACAGTTATCACTCCCCGTTCATCATTACATGCAACGCAGTAGACAAATGAGACAATCATACAAACGCATTGCATCAATTAATGATGAATCAATCAGCATGTGTTTATCTGGATCCAAGCTTGTCATTGTAGCTTGGGAGAAATTTGTTTCTTGAATCATAACTTCAGAGAAAGCTCACATCGATTTGCCTCAGGGTGCACGTCGTACTCGTCCCCGTGTTTTGATACACCATGTAATATTCATTCAGGTTGATCTAAATCAGCTTTCAACAGTTCTATTTGTGTCGCTTAATGTGTTCTTTCACGTCATCGTGTAACACATCAACAGTACATAATGCATAATTCGCATCATAACAACACAATATTGAAACTGAAGGAAATGGGAAATATCAAAGAGACAGCAAGCTGTTATGTAAAACGATTTTTAATATACATGCATATTTAATATTCCTGGAATTGCGCGTGACAAAAGAAAAGGACTTCGCGCCAACACTTGAATCGTAAGGATCACAACCGCCCCAAAGGAATACTTTAACCCGTTATATGGCAAAACACTTCCAATACAAGATACTGCTCCTCTCAAGTCACGTATCATCTTCTTAATAATGGTACGGGCATGCACTTATAAAGCAGACAATGTAAGATGTGATATTTTAAACGTTTCGCGTTGGTTGAGTGAAGAATGTAGCAATTCATGGGGAGAGCATTAAAACGGTTTGTCGACCTCAGCTACAGTTGCCCCACAATCTAACCCCAGACTCTGTGATCAATGTGGACGTTCTTGAACCTTGCTTCCAAGTGGAAGATGTCTCAGCCAATGATTAACCCAAGTGCGTTACTTAATGCAGCCATAATGACCCCTCCTCCGCTATAACTGACATCGTTCCGTGGAAAACGATTGGATTTAAAGCCATTGTTCTTTCAGGACACCAGCGTCATTCGTTATTTAGAATGATAGACTAGAATCCGCGGGGGTGCATTATTATGTTTGAGGCATAGATGATAGATATTGAGGCATAGATGATAGATATTGAGGCCATCCATTACTCACTATTGGTTCTTGCGAAAAGGCTTTATGAAAGACGACTACCGTCTCTACAGACTCAAATGAAGGTTGAGTAAATCAATCTGTGCCTAACATGGCCTAATTAGGACCGGTTGCTGTCATGTGTGTCTCATATATAGACTGAATATCTCATAAAAATGTGTTGCGTTCAAAGTGTGTCACACATTCGTGAATACACACCAGTGGTACTATCATACTCTAATATGGAAACCATAATCCTTACCGGCACAGAGAAATTATAACATCACCCATTACCACACAGAAGAGCAGATCATCAAATTACATATTATTGCACAAGTTATGCCGTTCCACCTACGCATTAACTTACATGTCAAATCCATTAACCTAAAAATTCTCTGATGATGTACCATTTATAAACTGTAGAAGCTATTTCATGACACAAACAATTTTATAAGGCTTTCGGTTTGATGATGTTTTCTGTTTACAATTGTTATGCTAAAACGTAATGATTCGAGGTTCACACAACCACAAACCGATAACTAAATATAAAATACACAGTGACCAAGCTTCGCGTCGACATAACCGTAAAATTCGACACATCAAAGTTCGACATAAAGGTGTTTGACTGTATAAAGCAGATGGATTGCAGTACATATGTAATGTAATACGTGGTGACAGCAACACTGGGGAACAATCTACCATCAACCCTGAGAAACTTAGAATCTTATGACATTTTTAAGAAGGGCGTAAAACCCATCTCTTTTAATCAGCCTACACTCAGTAGCATTTGTGACTGTTTTTGTAAAGCGCCTTTGAGTGTTTTAGTTCCTAAAT